CGCCACGTGCCTTCTTGACTGATAGATTCTTGATTGGATAGACTCTCAAGCTCCTCGCAACCAAAGGCCATCTCGCACAGCGCAGCTCGTTATGTGTTCCTGCAAGAAAAGCGTTCCGATCAGGGTTCGGCGAGCCCCATGCACCGGAGACAGGGCCTTAACAAAGATGGTCAGAGTGAATCAAGCTCAATCCTCTAAAAAGCGATACCACAGGAGAAGAGTGTACGGACACGACCTTTGCAATCAGCCGTTGCAGTGTGGACTTGACGGAAGGTGACAATTCTAGCCAAGCAATCTCCGTGCCGCTTGGTCGGGTGATATCGGGCGACGTCTCTTGCTTTGAATCAATACATTTTTTGTGCATCTCTGTTAAGAAGGGTGGACGGCATAAAGATGACAGAGACAGAGACGGTATACGAGCAGCAAACAGCTATCGAAGGGAGCCACTTGTTGGGATCACGAATCTTTCCATGATTTCGCAGCCGCACAGTGCACACAGCCGAGCCCATTTCAAAACATAACTGCCTTTCTCTGAAACGAAAAGCACAAAGCCCAACAGTCCGGTCGAAGCTCGCATGCAACGACCGAGCTTAAAAGGCAGAACGAAGGTTCGGGAGGTCACAACAACTCAAATTCTGCACTCGCCTGGTCCAGTTGACTACCAGCTACCATCCTCAGGACTTTCCGGGCGCTGCATTGCCCCCATCCCGACTCCTCTGACCGGCCTTTGCTGACTTCACCTCCCCGGGCGGCAGCCTCGGGGACCTGTCCAGGACTTTCGGGAGGCGTGGCTTCCCCGAGGGAAGGCCCAGTGCTCGGCGCCCCGGCCTCAAAAGCTGCGGCCCTGGTTGTTTGGGCCCCCTGCCTCGTTCCACCCCCTTGCGCCGGCTCGAGCGCTTCGAGAAGCGTGTCCAACCGCGCCGCGACCACCCGGCCACTGTCCTCGGTCACGCGGATCAGCCCCCTCAGAGCGCCGACGATTTCAGCCCAGGGCTCGGGGATTGTTCCTGGGCGCTCCTGCAGAACCCCGGGAGAGGCTGACGACACACCGCCGGCGCGCTCTTCGGACGGTCCTCCGCTTTCCGGCTCGGAAAGCTTGTCTGCATATGCCTTCTAGAGGGAACCATAGCTTGCGGGCGACGGCAGCTGCTCGGCATGCTGGAGCGCCTCGGTCGCAGGGGGTACCTCTGTGTGACACGTGGCACCTGCCGGAGCCTTTCCCTTTGCTTCGGCAACCACGGTCTGCGCTTCACCTCTTGCTGCCTGCTGCGAAGGCCCAGCCTGGTCGCCCTGAATGGTCGGTCGTGGTGCTTCGCCTCCGCTCGTTTCCCTGAGATCTTGCGAACCCCGTATTTGTTGTCCTTGCGCACCGTTCTCTCCAGAGTTGTGCCCTTGCTCCCCTCCGTTATTGTCCTCCTTCCTGTCCGGCCCGTTATCCCCCTGTGTGCCGTCAGCACATCCCTCCGCTGTGACGTCAGCAGCCCCGCTCTCCAGACCTTCGCCCCTCTGCCCCACATCAGTCCGCTCCTTTGACCCCAGCTCCGGCTGTGCGATGGGCGAGGTCATCGCCGTTCCATTTGCGGCAGGGACCCGCTCCTCCGAATGGTCAGCGCCGGAACGCCCAGTGGCGTCAGCAGCCCCGGCAGCAACGTCAGCAGCCCTGGGAGGAACATCCGGGCCCCCAGAAATGAGGCTAGCAGTTTCATTCTCCAGGTGCAGGACCGCCGGCTGGGGCATTGAGCTGTGCTTCGGCGGCTTCTCGGCGGGGGAACCCCCGAGCAAGGTGCTCGCCTCGACCACACGCTCCCTCTCCTGCAGCTCCCGCTCAATTGCAGCCAGGAGATCTTTCTTCGTTGGGGTGTCAGCGCTCTGGTCCGATGCAACGTCCCCTTCTCCCTCATTTAAACCGTCGGCTCTCCCCTCCTTCGTTCCGTCAGCATCCAACCCCGCGTTGACATCAGAACCCTTCCCAACGTCCAGGCCAGCGCCCTTCCCCACTGGCTTGACGGTGCCGCCCCTCAATGCCGCGCTGGCGCTCTCTTCCTCAGTGCGAGCACTCTCCACTCCCGCTGCTTTTACCGAGACACCACCTGCCGGGTCGCCCTTCCCTGCTACCTCTGTCGACTTGGCCGCCAGTCCCAGTGCCTTCTTCCGGGCGACCAGCTTTCCCTCACCCTCTCTGATGGCTCCGCCTGCTTCTTCCGCGCTAGGCTGTCCGGAAGGCTTCTCCGTGCTGCTCCGCTTCTTCTCACGTGCCAACGGGTCGCTATCCCCGGGCTCATTCTCTGCCAGCGCTTTGCTGCCGGGTTGAGCCGATCGGAGATCTTCTTTGGGCGCTGCTGCTTCCGTGCTTGGGGTTGAATTTGTTCCCGCAGTAGAATGCCGGTTGGTAGCTTTGATTGGGGGAGAAAGGACAGGCGAACCATGCGCTGACTCCTGCAGATAAAACGGGAGACTTGCCGTCAGCAAGTGGTGCCGCAGACATCAATGAACGGAAAGGACTTCACGAACGCTTTTCCCCGACCCAAAACGGCAGAATTTGCAATTACGTCGCCGTGCCCAAATCCGGGTTCCTCGGAGTTGGAGTGAAGAGAGGAGAAGGACCGCAAATCCCTTCTCAGTGTAGATGAGATACATGTCCTGATAATAAGAAAAAGGATGCGGAGGTAATTCTTCCATTGCACGTCTGAACAACCACATGTTGCATTGAGACAACCTTGAATGGCTACTTCAAAAGCAGACCCCCTCTAAAACGCTGAATAGGTAGAAGTGTAGAAGTGTAGAATGTCATCGCGATTCCGAAAGCAGGCTCTCCAGTCTTTCCACAATGCGAGGCAGGATGAAAAGTCTATATCTTAACCGGTTGCAGACCCCAGGCGCACAGAAGGAAGCTGTCAACAACAACAGAAGTGATTGCTAATGGCACATCTCGTGTCTGCTCGCTGGCACTGAGCTTTCCTTGCTCGTAGCTTACAGAGCCACTCGGCTACGATACCAGACAGACCCTTCCAGCATCAGTCGAGCGCCGCTAACTGACGAGTGCAACACCTCTGACGAAATGGCTTCCAACACTTTTATTTTCCCCTGCGAGATTTGCAGAGGATGCAGAGGAGCAAAAGAAGCAATTGCTGACCGCTTTTAAGGTTTTGGCTAACGAAGACTGGCGAAGAAACATGTGATCCACAGAAAGCATGGACACCAGAAGCAAGTCGCATGGGGTATGACGCACTTCGTTCCATTCTGCCCCCTCGCCCAAGCGACCAACAAAGAGAAGCAAGCTCTAAGAACCAGATAGTTCCTGGGGTTCAAAGCACCTTCTGAATCTCACGAAGCAGGACTCGACCAGCATCAGTTTCTTACCAATCCTTTGTAGAAGCTCTCCTTGCGAGAAACCCCTGCCATCCCCTTCACCACGCCTTCCCTGTCAGCGTCGGCCGCGTGCCCATCTGTCCCCGTCCCTGCATCGCTTGCCCCATTGTCTGCACCTTCCCGCCGTTCGCCCCAATCCGCCTTTGCCACACGTTCTTTCCCCGCTTCAAACAAACCCTCCGACACTTTGCCAACGAAGCCTTGCAGGCCCTGTCCTGCAGGGGGATCCCCCGGCTCAGTCCCTAACACGGGCGCACTCCCCCCCTCTGCATCGCTGCCTTTTTTCGAACTCATTTGCCCCTGGAACGTGCCTGCCACCTCTACCGCCTCCCCACGTTTTGCAGCGCCCTCCGTTCCCTGTTCCTCCCCCAGGTCCGTGCCCTTCCCTGATCGAATCTTGTTTCCTGCCTTCGGAACCTTGATGTCCGCATCCGCCTTTGCACCCCCGTCAATGGCGCCTTGAGCCCCTTCGGCCGTCTCTCCTCTCACACCGTCTCGTGACTTCTCCCTCCTCCCTCTTTTAGCTCCGCCCTTCGTCACCACCTCTTCCTCCTCAGCAGCGCCTTCCGTCTCTTCCTCCTCCTCTCTTTTCACCCCGTCCGTTATTCCGGCTTTCCGCCCCTTCTTAGTGACGCCTCCAGGCTGTACTTCCGCGCCACCAACAGCAGCGCCCGCCGTCTTCGCCTCCCCAGCGGTGAGACCGTCTTTACGCTGGCGCTTACGACTCTTCGTGAGCCCTCCAGACCCGCCTTCCTCATCGCCAGGCACATTCTTCTTCTCCCCACCGCTCCCCTTCCGCGCTTTGTTCTTCGACCCGTGATCTCTGTCATAGCACTTGCTGCACTTGCGCGTGCCTGCTGACGCGCCGTACCACCGCCTCGACTTGGTCACCCCGCACGACGCGCACCGCTTCCTGCTGCTGCCACGTGGCCCCTCAGCCACTCCTCCCTTCTGCCGTTCGTCGAGCTCCGCTTCTTCACTTCGCAGGTCTTCAATCTGCGTCTCATCCGCCCGCGCACCCTTCGGTTCTGCTGTTGCCGTCCGCAGTCCATCCGACTGCAGGTCTTTCACGTCCGAGGGCTTGGGTTGGGCCTTGAGTGAATCGTCCACCGCATTGGTCGAAGGGGGACCGTCGCCTCCAGCCGCTGCGGTTGGTGTGTCTGCTGTAACTCCAGGCTTCTCCTCGACCACTTCTGAGCTGCGCCCACGCCCCGCATCCTGAGGAAGGGGTCCGTCAGCGACTTTCCGGTCGGGAAGCTCAGAGGGCGGGATAGTAGGTGCGACGCGTCCGCTGGCCTGTAGAATTACAAGGAAACGGGTAAGGCCAAGTGGCTTGCTTGTTCACGATTGTTGACTCAGCTGAGATAGCTATCCCACGACAAACGTGCTTAGCTAGAAGCGAGAAGCGTGTCAGCAAGAGGAAGGGTTAAGAGGACTTAAAAACGCTGGTGATACAGAGTTGAAAATACAGTCAGACACGTCGAATGAACTCAGACGTTCTGATCGTGGGGCCAAAGGAAGACTCAAGCCAATAAGAATACGTACAGACGAAGTACTTGGAACGACTGGTGAAAGTGTCTGAATAGGTGCAAGAATGCTTTGCGAAATTGCAGTTTTGGTCTTGAGATAGTCATCCTCGAGGTCTACCAGCTTCCACTTGACTCCTGGATTCGACAGATGCACGACCTGAACGAAATTCTTCAACTCCTGACGACATGCGGCGGACTAAGGAGCAAGATATGCAAAACATCTGCGCGTCTTCGAGAAGCATTCATTCCCACCTGTCGCAGCAGCATGGATGCAACTCAACCTGATTGAAAGAGAACCCGTAGTCCAATGACACCAGGGCTCTTCTCCAATGGACAAACCCGTTTCTTCTTCCTCGACGAAGCTCAGTTCCTCGAAGGAAGTTCGTGTGCTCCCGGAACAAGCTCTTTTGGGCTCCATAAACACACATATCGATCCGCCATCTGTCAAGCACGTACTGACGTGCCATCCTGGTTTCCATTCTTGCCAGAAACGCAGGTATCGTAGTATACTTTAAACCTCACCAAAGGCTGAAACAACCAATTTGAGCGCTCAAGAAGTCACGGGGGTCGATCACCGAGAAACAAAGTGTAAGAAGATTGACGACAGCATGCTCGGAGGAGCCGAATCCAGCTCGGAAACCCGCGGAAAAGCCCGGCCCAAAGGACTAACGCCAAAGGGAAAGCATCCCTAGGCTAAAAAACCTGCTGCAAAGAAGGGCTAGCCGCTACTCTCAGAATCGACTTATCCTCAGATCTAGAGAAAAAGAGGACCTGGGAAGCTGTTCAATGAAGGAGACGAGAGCTTCCCAGGATTTAGACAACGTCCCGCTCACCAAGCCTCGAGATGGATCTTGCTCGTGAGACGCGTCCTCTGGTACCGTGTCCCCTTGGCCTGCACCCACAGCCGCACCGCTTGCCCATTCTCCGGCTCCGCTCCTGGCCGTTTTGTCGCCGCTCATTTGCAGCCCCCCTCCCGATGGCTTTCTCAGCCCTTCAGGCCCGCCCTCCAGCTCGTTTGCAGCGCCCTCCCGCCGCTCCTTTTCGAACACCAGCTCCAAGACCTCCCCCAACATCGCCGGAGCTTTCCCGAAACAGGGGGGCCCACTCTCAGCCGCAAGCACCCCCCCTGCCCCTCCCTCTTTTGCGTTCACGCCCCCAGATCCAAAGCGCGTTGCCGGACCCCCCACTTCACGGCGGCCGCTTTTGCCTGGCGCATCGGCAGCGGCTTCTTTCCGTTGTGCCTTCTTGCGCTTCGCGTTCAGCTTGGAGGTCCCAATTGCGTGTTTTGCCCAGTTGCTAATGGGCAGGCTGCTGTCCACTCCAGAGTCTTCCCCGTCAGCATCGCCTCCCCGCATCGCCACTTCTCCTGAAGCCCCCTTTTCTTCCGGCCCCTCGTCTTGTTCTGGCCCCTTCTTTTCGCTCGTCCTTTGTTTCTCATCTCCGTTCTCGTGATTTCGTGGGAGAAGCTTCCACCGCTCTTTTGCGAGATTCAGGACCTCCTTGGTTCCATCGTCGTACCGCACCTGCCAGGAAATTGAAAATGTCCATGTCAAGCCTCCAGCCTATGGCTCACACGTCAAGATATGACAGAGTGATGCAAACGTTGCCATTCAGCACGCCTGGGAACCGTGAAAGTTTGACTGGGCGCCTGAGATTGGAAAGAGAACGCGGAGAGAAAGACGCTGGTCAAAAGAGCCTTCTTAGTGAACCGTTCAGCTCTGAATGACGCACAAATTAGGATTGTTTTCTAGATTGGGCTGCTTGTGCGGGACAAATTTTACGACAGAAGATAAAGAGTGGAAATGTTGTGAAAGTTTCCTTCGCTGCATAACGAATGGGGAAAGCATCTTTTGGTGTTGAACGATAATAACTCAGTCTTCGCGAAGGGCTCTCCTCAACTACTACAGTCGGGCTCTCCACGAAATGTAAGTACAACACCAGCATAAAATCCGCAGCTTCCTCATGGCCTTCCTGGAGAAAGTGACCCAGAAGTGGACAAATAAGACAGAGCTGGCGACCGTACCTGGTGCCATTTGTTGTAGTTGGTGAAGCGCACAACTCGGCCCGCATTGAATCTGCAATTGAGCAAAGCCTTCGATCAGACAGCAATTTTGTTATAAACACGGTCATATACCAAGGCTCAGCAGCATCGATCTCCAATCTTGAGCATCAAATTGCTGCCAGAGGCATTGTTTGGCCTCTGAGAAGGTTTCCTGACAGTACTGTCGCAGCGCCTGTCTGCATAAGACCCTCAACATGGGCGACAATTGAAAGCAAAGCGTACGAAGGATGGTTCAGATTGATAGCAACCAGGCCTATGCGGTTTTAAACACTGAAACTTAGCACAGAGGGACCTCGATGTATCAAGAGCGACGTTCAAAGGCAAGGCACCTGTTTCAGAGATACATCCAAACCATCAAAGCGAGCAATTGGCCTGAACACTCCAGTGGAGCCTTGTTCACAACAGCCAAGACGGCCACAGAATCAAACAAGGTAACGCTCTAGTGAGAGCATGCAAAACTCAGCAGCAGGCAACAACTGGAGACCCAACCACTTTGAAGGATGTCGGGCCAACCACAAGCGGCAGAGGGGCACACCAAGAGGACATCCCATTTGGTTGAAAGCTGACATGCACGATGCAAAACTGGGGCAAGCCTTACCTGTTGTCAATAGGGCACCAGACTTCAACCCGCCGACTCACAAGCGCGCCAGTCAGGGGGATCCCCTCCCCAGGAACCTTTTCCGGGGCAGCCTTCATCTCTGGCGACGGTATTTTACCCCCGGCTGCGTTTGGTGAAGGCCCATCCTCTTTCGCTGTGGAGAGCATAGCATAGCACGAGGTGCAAGTGGGCTTCGGCTCTTCAGGCCCCTTTT